CATCTAACTCTGACGGTGGAGGAGGACAGGAGGCTGTTCTATGAATGGAGAATGACAAGGTTTTTTGTGATTTATGCTGTGGTATTACAGTAATGTTTAATTCATCCATTTTCTCCCCTCGTGCAAAGCATAGAATACTTGAGGGCTGTGGCTGGTTGCCGGACTGTTCCTGTTGAGGTGGGATCCAGGTACACAGACGAGGAGTGGTCACAAACGCTGCTCACAGTCAATGATTTCATCGATCGGTATATTTTGAATAAAGTAAGTGCATCCTCATCCTTACTTGCTGTTGCATTTGTGAAGCACAAACAAGGTAAAACATTTCCTTGTGATTTCTAACAGAGTATTTTTTTCATTTATTTTTCCTCTGTGGATCAAAATTCGCAGGGTGGAGTGAAAGGTTTGGGTTATCTGGCTCAGCACCAGCTTTTTGATCAGGTATGGTTCAATGTTTTTCTTTTGAATTAATCTGATATCTTCAGCACTATGAAAAAATACAATAGAATTCTCTTTTTCTTTCCAGCTGTCTTCCTCCCGCCACGTTGCTTTGAACAGTGTTGACTTTTTAGTGCTAATTTTTACCGTAGAAGTCAATACATTGTCTGGGCTGAACTTTACGAAAAGGGCACCTTGTCAGGCCAAAATAGTTGTGTGTTTTCGGGTTGTTTGATAGATCAGATCGAGGCCAAACGAGGATCCATCACACATCCAGATCTTTCACACTGTATCCTCACCTTTCAGGAATCATCTGTAAAAAGTTGTTTATTCATATGTATGTAGGAACTGCCTTATTATACAATATCATTTTAACACCTGAAAAAAAATATATTCCTCTAAATTTTCCTTCATATTATTTAATTATAATTATGATCTTTTCTTCAGATTTTCTTTTAATTTTTCTTCTTCTTATCATTATATAATAAAAATAATTGACTCAAGGAGGACTATATGCATAGATTTGGGGTTTTTTGAAGTATGTATCTCATGACACTATAAACTATACAAACTGAATAATTTGAAAGCAATATGTGGCCTCATGTTAACTCTCATATAAACTGATCCCATTGAGTTCCATGCAGAGAGGGAAACACAGAGCACTGGTTTTTGATTGGTACTCAGTATAGGCAGGAACCCTGAATTGGTAATTGGAGAGAAAAAGCCAGATAGGTACATCTCTAATTGCCATTACAATAAAAGTTGTTAGGAAATTGCATTAGAGACAGGACAGCATTCAGCATACATGTCCATACCTGCCAACATTTAGGTTTCAAAATACATCAGATTTTTCAGGGTGGGGGTTTACAGTAAATAAATAAATGATATACATAATATATATATATATACACAGTATATATAAATACATGACAAGATTCATTTCAAATTTTTAAAGTTAAATTCCATCACATGTCAATTAATATTAACATTTATCATTTGTTAAACTTGTTAATTAACAGACTTGGATAAAGTCAGACAAACATACAATACATATGGATCCATGTATGATGATTATTAATAGTAAAGGGTGAGGGCTATGCAAATTACAGGAGTTTCCTGCAAGAAACAACAAAAGGGGAAGGCCCTGGGAGACTCTCAGGAAAAAAAGGAGTGTTGGCATGTATGCATGTCTGTAAGATTCATGAGCAGTAAAAAGATCCAATAAATACATTTTTACAAGACTAAGGAGTCTATGGCCATGCTAGTCAATTTTAATGCTGATGTTTAGCTGCAGCTATAGTTTTTGCATGCTAACATCAGCACTAAACACAAAGTATAGCAGCTGTTTTACAGGTATTTGGTCATGACACAGAGTATATGACAAATTAGAATTTTGGCCTGATGAAGGTAGTAGATAAACGTGCAGATGATCCCTTAAGTTATTACCATTCATCCTGTCGGGGATACAGATGTGTGTAGCAAATTTCATTGCAATCCATCCAATAGTTGCTGAGGTATTTCACCACCAAAGTGGTGGACAGATTCACAGACCAACAGTGCCATCCTTGGAGCCACGTTGCTGGCATCGCTGAAAGTACTTTAAATACCATGAGGAAATGCAGAGTAAAAGAGAAAAAACAACATTATTTAATATTACTTGCTGGGAAATGTCTACAAATGTTCTGGTAAGAAACAAGATATTATCTAGTCAGTGCCCCTGATGTAATCTTATTTTTTATTTTATTGTTTAATGTTGCCTTAGATACCAGAGCTGAAGGAAGACATCCGCCTCCCCGATTATTGCTGTCTTGGCGAGGAAGACGAAGACGATATTACTGTGAACGCATGGTTTGGGCCTGGAGGTACGGTGTCTCCTCTTCACCAGGACCCTCAACAGAACTTCTTGGCTCAGGTGACGATGATAAGGCTGCTTTATGTATCCAGTTAATGTCAAAGATCTGTCACGTGATCACGGTTTGTTTACCACATGAGATTTCCACTGTATACACACCAGGTTGTGGGAAGCAAATACATTCGCCTATATTCCCCAGAGGACACAGACAAGCTGTACCCTCATCAATCACAGCTGCTTCACAATACCAGTCAGGTGAGATTGACAGTCCATAGAGATAGTACATGTTGAGCTTGCAAATATATGCATTTTTTTTTTTTTTTTTTTTTTTCTCCAATCTCTGACTCCTTCCATGCAGGTGGAGGTGGAGAATCCAGACACAGAGCGGTTCCCAGAGTTTGCCAAGGCTCCATATCTTGAATGTATGTTACAGCCTGGAGACGTGCTGTTCATCCCTGTCCGCCACTGGCATTATGTCCGATCCTTGGAGCTCAGCTTTTCCGTCAGCTTCTGGTGGTCATGATTGCAGATGTAGAATAAAAAGTAATTATTTTTGTGGTAGAATTTGAGTACAGCTTGTTTTCTGCTGCTTGTGGATGGAAATCAGTCTGGAGTTCTTAACTAATGCGAGGCTAATTCTCATAAATGTTAGGACAACCGCTGATCACACAAACCTTTGATCCATGAACAATGAACACACACTGCTGAATGATTAGTTTAATTGTGCTGCTGATGACTGCAACAACATCTATTGTGCAGAAAGCTACCAGCAGGGGAAGAAAAAAACAAAAACAAATGAGCAGTTAAAACTGTTTGTGCTCATTTCATCCTGCATATAATTTACAGAGGGTTGTCATCTAATTTGATAGGATATGTTTCTCTTTTCAAATTGGCTTATTTAATTGTGTTCTCAACCTTATTCCTACAAATATCCTCAGATGTGTGATTTCCATAATTCATGGAAATGAGGCAAGTCCTCAAATTTAATAACCGAGTGAGCTACAGGTACAAAAATGTGGTAATAAACATGGCTCTCTGGTGGAGGCAATCAAGCAGGTCACAGATGAAATTTAATAAATTAAATGAATTAATCCCCTGGGCACAGACAGACTTTGAAATTAAAATGGTCTCGTTGGTTAAGTACCCTGACAGTACAACTCTTGTCGAGTGCCAGAAAACACAACGCCCGACAACTAAGACAGCAACACTTCATTTTCAATTTCAGCCCTCTGACAAAGCCCCAGTCGTGTATCCCGTAGGTCCATTTCAATCAAGCCTGCTAATTACATCCATGAAGTGTGTCGGGATGTGACAAAATAAAGTAGATCAGCACTGATGTACACATCTGATCTGCTTGTCAACCAAGTTCACAGTCAGCTAAAGTACCATTTTGGGAAATCAAGAGAACAGTATTTCCGTGAACGAGCTGAAGAGCTTTGTGGGAATATGTTTGTTCAAACAGCGCAAGGAAAGGGTATTTCATGTGCTGTTTTTCCTGATTTAGTGATGAGTGAGGATTTCAGTATGAAAAATTACAGTTGAAAACGTTAAATAAACCTTGTATGAAGTTAAGTTTTACAACTTGAAAATATGCAACACACATTTTAAAAGTCCTCAACCTTCAAAAATATTTTCTCAATTTCACTGTTTCAGTCAGTGCTTTGCTTTCTCAAGGCAGACTGGTTTCATATTAGCTATAACTTTATAAGGAGACACTTTGTGACTAAAATTTAAATCACACTATCCTCTAAGTGCTTATGAATATTTTAGCTATTTACTGATAAATGAATATTAAATGAAGGATAGTTGATAGATTTACCTTGACAGATTTCAGTGAAGTGCTGCTGCGGAGTTACAGTAATAACTGAAAAAGGGATTTTATAATTACATTACAATTCTCAATTGAGAAAGCACATAAACTAACAAACAGCTGATGCATTATACATGCCAGTGTTCAGGTAATAGACTTATCCAAACCAAGTTACTTTCCTTAAAGGGTTATCTCTCTAAACCAATTATATGAACCCCATCAGAATTTAATTCTGAGTAAATGCTGTATACTTCACTTAGCCCATTAGTGCATTGTTGCTGTCAAGTAACTGGCACAATTGACTTAAGATCACACAAAACTGCTTACTCTCATTATAATGTAATCAATAGTCAATTACCAGTGAAGTAATGTGGGACATCTGGGCCTGTAACCCTTTCTCTTCCACCTGGACCCTCTCCTGCTACTCCTCTTTTGATTAATGGCCTTGTGGATTTTGGGAAATCAGGTTTAAATCCAGTAGATTTGTCTTGTAATACAATAAAGTGAGCGCTGGATGTACACTGGGTGAGATATGGTGTGTGAAACCCAGAATCCCCCTCAAACCTTTTGGGCCAAAGTATTTGAGCCAAAATGTTAGTGTTTAGGTTCCAGAGCTGCAGGCTGAAGGGAGCATTTAAGATCAAGATCACAGGCTGATTCTCCCAGTTACCCTCAATTTGTCTGATTTACAGGTCATAAGCAACTTGATCAATGAATAGTAAATGTCCCCCTGTATTAATATAGATGTTGTTGTGTCAGGGTCTTGTGTCAGTTGTTTTCAGTCGCCTTGGTTGGCCTTGTTTTACATCAATACCACTTGAACCTGATCTACATGTTTATCACAAGGTGTTTAGTAATATGGACAATAGTTTTGCTTGTTAGGTTCAGTTAAATTACTGAAAATGCAAAATGCATTGAACTTTATTCATCAGATACACGAAACTGGGGAAAAAGCACTGACATTAACATGCAAAATTTACAAAGAAAGTTAAGAACAATGATTGTCAGGCATTAATTAGTTAACATTTTACTCTCAAAGAGAATGACAGGAACAATATTACATTATTTTCATCAATCTGTCGATATTCTGATAAACTATAAACAGCTTTAAAAGTTATAAAGTAACACTTAGATGCATAAAATATTTTAAACAATGACACTAATAACGAACCTGAGCTGAAAGCAATGCAGATTAAGTATGACACATGAGTGGTTATTTTTACAATCCTACACTAAGATGAAGTGCAGTATAAAAATAGTGTAAATGATTAACAATCATACTGTGTACTGTCGGGAAATGAAAACAGAAAATGTGCAAGGAACAATCCAGACTGACTGATAACCATGCAATACTATTCAAAGGTTTTCTTAAGGCGACTTGGTTTCAGTTGTGGCACCAATTCAGACTTTTTCAAGTATGAATGTTATCCAAATGTGTATGACCTTCAGTGCTATAACTAAAAAGAGATTTTAAAATAACCCCTCATTAAATAAAAGATGCATGATTGTTTTTCTGATGGCCTCAATTCCTCCCACAATGTGTCTCTCGCACAAAACAATCAATTCTGATATCAGAATGTCTCCTTTCTAATATTCCTGGAATTCTACAGAGAAGTTCTGCATCCTCTCCACCACGAAGAAGCAGAGAGTTCCAGTGAAGCCCAGGATGATCATCAGCAGGAGCTGCCACATCAACAGGACATAACCGCTGTAGAAGAACGCCACTGCTGCGAAAACAGACTGACAAAAGATAACAGATTTTACTTACTAGATGTTTAATAGACAGAGTAACTGTCACAAGATTGGACAGCTTCGAGGCCCAGCAACAGCTAACCCCCAAATGGAAGGAAACAACATTCACACTTTCTTAAACTAACAGATCCCAATGGTACATTTACTGTCAGCTGACTATTCAATTAGCCCCAGTCCTGAACAGCAATCATCAAATCACAGCTTAGTGACCGTCACCAGGCACGGCAGGTCTGCTGAGCTTTGTTCATGGGGCTTTAGTAAGAGAAAAACTCAGTATATAAAACGTTTTTAGGCTAGTGTCAGTTTAACAGCCTCTACAAAACCAAAAAACACAAGACCAAAAGTGCAAGCAATGGATTAAACTCGTTTATCTGCTCTAAAATAAGATGCAAATGTTAGCAGGTCAGGCTAACTAGCTTACTACCTGCAACACCTGGCTAACCACATTATTTTGAGTTATAGGTTGCATTAGAACAACAGCTGTTTTCTGACTAGAAAATTCACCCTGTGAGATTCAGATGCCAGGATTAAGTAACAATAGAGGCTATGCGAGTAATACTGTATAACACTGGACTATTAAGGCTAATTAGCTTGCGCTAGCTAGCTAGGATATTGGAAATTTGGAGATTGCACAAATTTCAGCATTGAACTTTAATTGTGTTGTGTCTCATTCATGCATAGGATGAAAATGTTCTGTTTATTAGACCCATGTAGCAACATGCTTGTTATTTAACAAGTATTTGTTTTCTGGGGTTTTTTCTGGTTGGAGACCAATTTTGCAGCACAGAAAAAGGGAGAGATTAGGAGGCATATGTGGGTCTTCTTCTTTTCCTTTTTAATGGGGCTTCAAGTGAATTTATTTCACACTCGACAAGACAACATTTTAACCCAGCTTTTCTCAGCTCTGCTAACAACGTCTGAGAATTGGCAACTCAGGATTACCTGGATGAATTTGAAGATGGCAAATGCAGGCGTGCTGTGTTCCGCATAAACACGGCCTAATATGCTGTAGAGCTGTGTGTTGAAACAACTGTCCCCAAGTCCAAGCAAGAAGCTGCACAGCAGGGCAATGGATACACTGAGAGGGGAAAATATAGTTCTTATTAAAACAAAACAGAATCGTGACAGGCCTTCCAAATGTTCATACATTTTTTATTGTTAAATTATCAGATAAATTAACTACCTGGGAGTTAGATATGGCGTCTTTTGGGTGGTGGTTTTAAAGACGACAGGAGCATCATCTGGGATGTTAAGGAAGACCAAATAGAAAGCAATAAAGTGGACAACCATTCCCAGGAACACCACAGAGGTCCGTCTGAAGCGGTTGTTTTTACACAACAATCCGAACAAGCCTCCCCCTGATGAGAAAAAGAACATGAACCCAGTGACTTTGGGTGACTTTAAATCAATCGAACAAGTTCTGATAGAGAAATGTAAACTTACCCACTATTTCTCCAATGCCTACCACGATCCCAGAGATCCCAATCAAGCCTTTAGCTGCTTCTCCAAACTGTGTAGTTGCTCCAATACATGTCCCGTACACTCCACTGTAGAAAGATAGCTCGAGGCCTGGAAAAACAAGGAGGCTATGCTGTAGATGCAAGCCTTGACTGGAGGGTAAAATACTTAATACATGAATGCATTCTTCATTGCACTTACCGCTGTATGCCATGCAGGGACTCAGGAGCAGTATAGTTTTAGTCTTCAGAAGTTGCAGGATAGTTTCTGAACAGGATGAGACACAAAACACTGATTTGAATTGCTAATAAAGAACATATTTCCAGCACTATTACTCTTCCTTTACCTTTGTGTTGACTTTAGATGAAAATGCAGATGTTCTTCTCTGACAACTAAAGTTCAATGCAGGTACAATATGAGAAAATATTCTGCCTCAATAGGCCAAAAAGGCACATTTAAAGGCAAGTGGAAAAACACCCAAGAGACACTTTCACTATGGCGGAGAGGGAAATTCAGATTTTAAGAGAAGAAATCCCAGTAGGTTTGTTTATATATGCCGGGTTGCCCTTTCTTGACATAAATCAGCATGCACCTTTGCTGCACTGACGGCAGGTGCAAGTACAGCAGAGTTTCCAGTTGACAAACAGAGATATAATCTGAAATAAATTCTCGCACAGGCAGTTTCTGTGTACTCTGTTGTAACGCTAGAAGATTTTTATCCACATGAAAGCAATTTTCACTTGAAGAAAAACAAAACTGCCTGTGACCGCCCGCTAGTTTCAGACTAACAGCTGTGAAATGTGGAGAACTAGAGGTTACCTGCAGTATGCCAAATAACCAAAGAAAAAGCAAAACAACACCTCTGCAAGGTCTTTAGTGCCTTTTCCACTAGTTTTTATATCAACTGCAAAAAATCTGTACCTCAGATGATAAACACTGCAATGAAAAAGAGCAGTAACACTTTCAATATCTCAACAACTACTGGATGGATTGCCACAAAGTTTTGTATAGACATGAACAATCCCCATTCAATGCATTCTAATTTTGGTGGACTTTGGTGATCCTGTCGCTTTTTCCTTAGGCGCCACCGCGACAGTCTCATTTCTGGTTGTGAAGTGCAATGTCTCAACAACTGTTGGATTGGATTGCTGTGAAATTTTATGCACACATGCATGTTCCCGTGAGGATTGACTAGTATAACTCTGGTAATCCTCTCACTTTTCATATAGTGCCATCATCCAGTCAAAACAGATGACATTCCCATCAGCTTCGGCCGCAAATCACTCTTTTAGCAAATGTTCGCATGCTGACACACTAAACTAAGTCGGTAAACATAAGCATGATGCAATATGTACAACACCAGATGTCAGTCAAACTACAACTCTGTTGCTGCCAGTTAAATTTCACAACTGTTTTTTCTTCTCGGATATTATCAGTTGTTTTGTCCATTTGTTTGTTTTGTTTTGTTTTTGCTGTTGCTGTTGTTGTTGTTATCTTGTCTAAAACTATACATCACAATCACTGCAATTCACTTTTAAGTATTTTATTTTACTTTCATATCTGTAGTGTATTGTGGTTTTATGATAATGAAAACTCACTATTTTAATTACACTGTACATGTAAAAGCCTAAATAGTAGGTGACTTAGTACTTAAATGTTATATTCCAAAAACAAGGATAAAACTTACTCATTTCTGACTTGGCATCTTGCATGGCCGTGCTTGCTCTGTGCTTATACCTAAACAACAGAAAATGAATCAATTTAAACTGAAATTCAATCAACAGAAATAATCTGCACACACAAACAATGACATAGCCTCCCTTGAGTGAAGAGCAGGTGAAGTAATTTAGAAATCTAAGAAACTTTAGCTGCAAAGAGATCACAAGACTTCAACAACCAAATCCCAACAGAGTGAAAAACAGCACTTCCAGTGAAAATGATTGCTCCCTATAGGAATCCTTGCTATGCTGCCAGAATCATGCACACACTCAAACTCAGCCAGTAAGCAAAGGATCAAATACCTGCATGTAGCAGATACCCAACACGGTTTCTAAACACAATCTGCTACCATGAGACAGACAGAAAAAGGCTGAGAGAATACGTTTGGTCCAAAATTAGGACGCTAACAGGATTTCTATTTTAGTCTCAACATGTTTTTCACACAGCTCATTTCCTGTCCGATACATCAATTTGCAACTTTTTTTTAATGTTCATTTGGTCTTTGATGCAAGCTATATTTTTGTTTTCATCTCATGATTTGAGGCAAAACTTTGTAGAAATTTAAATACGTCTGAAACAATGTGGAGGGCCGTGTCTGGAGTGGTTGGGGTCTTTAAACGCTGTCACTCTCAAAGAGAAAATCTCTTTTCCAGCTGTCCCAGATCTGCCTGATTGCACCCTACTTGTATGAAGTGCTATGATTAAGCTTGACTATGTCAGAATTGCAGTGATCTGGGGGAAAAACGCTCGGTGTCATTTTGTGAAGGACAAGAGTGGTTTAAAACATCTGCAGAACTGTGGTGGTAAGTCATCTTGAAACTGCCGTGTAAGCTCTAAGGTTATCAGAAAAATTATAATTTCTTTGGTGGTTTGGTTATAGCTAAACGTGTGCAACTAGCTTTAAGGTAAATTCCCTTTTTTTTTCACAAGTTCACTATAGTATGTCTTTATATGTTGCATAAATCACAGTCTATTTCACTTCATTTATTTTTTTTATCTCTTTGGGTTCATACCCTCTGTGTCCTTTCAGTAGCGATTCAGACATTTTTAGGTATTCTGAGTAATTTTGTGAGACTACAGGGAAAAAGGTGCAATTATCTAAACGATTTACATCATGCGGGTCGAGAGCAGTGACCGCCCTTCCTCTTCAGAGAGCATCTCCTCTTCTTGATGGCTCTTCCTCAACACCAGGAAGCTGAGTGTGCCGAGTACGGAGGCGACCAACAGGGAGAGAAAGATGTTTTTCCTGCTGCTGTCTGGGAGAGGATGATTAAAATAAACCGCTTTAATTAAAACACACAAGATATATTAACAACAGCAAGCTAGAACATATTCAGAATAGCCAATCACTTATATAATCCTCTTGATATTTTATTTTCATCATCATGCTACATTTTCCTATTAGAGTCATGAGAGCACTCACTCAAGGTTAACCCTACCTGTTATCTCTGTTTTTCCATTCCAGTCAAGGTAAATGTAAAGATTGCCAAAGAACATGCTGTAAATGAGATAATACTGGTAAATCAAAAGTGTAAATGACATTAATACTTATCAAAACATCATATTTCATGGCTGCTGGATGAAAACCTTCTATCTCCAGTGTAGGGAAATATTTTTTGACACCATTTGTCTTTGCTTCACGTGCTTTCAGTCATATGACATGATCTTCATCAGCTGACAGAACTTGCTCAGTGTCATGGGATTGCAGATGTTCGGATGTTGCGTCCTGCAACTTAGCTGTTTTGGTTCACTCTCACCACTCTCATACCGTTGCTTTGGGCAACAGGCAGCTCTAATAACTCATGTACACTACCTGCTCTGCTACCAAACAGCAGATGGACACTGTTAGCAATTAGCTGGTGAGCATAGCGGAGCATTTAGCAGCTAAAGAGCCAGATATTTCTCTCAGGAGGCTCCCTGACAAACAACAGGTGAAAAAAAACCCCAAAAAAACAGTGAATATTGGATTTAAATTCACCAGGTGGCAAGAAACATGGACTCCAAATGAATGATAATGTTGCTCCATAGCTCCTGGATATGTGAATAGGAAACTGTTTTCTTACAAAATTGCCATATTAACTTATAATGGTAATGGCACATCAATTTTGTGTTCATAACTTGTTTCTGCTGCCCCCAAATGGCCAAAGAAATCAGCTACTGGAAGTTTAAGGATGATGAGAAGGCTGCTCCTATTCCTATTCAAATGTGATATGACTCATAGTCCTGAACAGCCACTAAATGGACCTTGTATTGAGGTTGTTTTGTCAACTACTGTTTCCAAGATCCAGAATGAATGAAAGTCAATCTTAGGGTAAAGTTTTTGAGCTAACACGAGGCTATACTATAAAGGGAGACATTTTGGAGACACGTGGGTCTCTTCCATCACGCTGAAACTCAACCTCACTATAAAACAACATCACATGTTGTTCCTCACAAATGATGCAGTCACCTCTTGGATCAGTCAGAGAAAAGAAAAATCATCCTTCAAAACTTTGAGATTATTTTAAAATTTAACATTTAATTTTCATATTTAATTACCACAACCACAGTGCAATTTGTTTTGGACAGCCAGTGTTATGCGTATAAAACCTCTTGGGGCCTTTCAGAGCTTAAAATTTTGACCTTTAATTAAAGTGCCCCCGTTAGGACAATCATTGTAATTAAAAACCACTGGGAACACAGTGCTATCGGAGATGTCAGCAGAGGAAACATGTTTGATAGACAGAAACGGCACACAGTGGAAGGAGTTGTGGACTGTCCTTTGTTTTTTTTCTTGGTTAGATCAAACGCTAACTTTATAAACACAATAATCTGCATTTGTGCCTCTGAAGAGGCTTCTTTCATTTCCCGAAGCTGCTCATTTGCCTTTTGTGCTTAACAGTGCACTCCTGTAAAATGCTGTGATCTATTTGCCTTCAATTACATATCAACTAAAGTAAGAAAATGTAGATGTGCAATTAATCTGTCCCAAAACCTCAGTGCGGGATAACAGGGGTTATTCATAAAAGATAACACTGACTGCATTCTGTGAGTGTGTGTGTGCACGTGTGTGTGTGTGTGTGTGCGTGCGTGCGTGCGTGCGTGCGTGCATGTTTGTGTCTGCAGGCTGTGAAGATTCATAAGTTTACTGTGGCAGGGATAACCACTGCGGAGTCAGATTAGCATTGCCCTATTGTGAGCTTTGGCACAGGTGACAGCCAATGTAATTATTATACTAATTCAATTTGCATATTTTAGCAAATACAAATTAGTTGTCCAAGCCAGTGTGCAAGAGCAGTGGGCCAAATAAAAGAGATGAAAAGGCTAAAACTCCCACCTGCAGAACTCTCCAGTTTAATAGGCTCGGGTGTTTTTGTATTTCGCAGAGAGACTAATGACTTACAGACAGATCCGATAAGTTGTAACATGATTTATTAATTATATTTTAAAATAAAGCATATGATAATATCCTGTCAGGCTAAGAATACAAACAGGACCGGATTTTGGCGGCCGCAGTGTAGTCGCAGCTTTGATCAACTGGAATAGTTGCATCAAACAAAATGAGAGAAAAAAACTCGGTGATGAATTGTGTTGCGTGCACTGAATGTAAAAAAGGGAAGGAAACGATACAGTGCAGCTCATTTATTAGCAGCTATAAGATGTTTAGAGTCTCAAATCATTTTAGAGAATCACATATACCATAATCCAAGTCTTGAATGCAGTGTGCTTTTAAATGAGCCTTTTCAGTGAAGTAATGCTATAATCCAGTGATTCCCAACCTTTTTCAACTCATGGCCCACTTGAAAAACATGTTTGCCACCCACACCTCACCCAATAACAATATGGAGGCCAAATAATACGTTCTCAGAGCACTTGTTATTTTGATGATAATGATCGAACATTCATTACTGAAACGAAAGCAGGCGATGCTCAATTTTTCTTTTCTGTTTGACAGGGGGAGAGATCACGTTGAGATTCACCATCTGTCTTTTGACTCTCTTTCTTTTTAATTCTTCCTGTTGCTAACCAGCTAAGCCATTTTGATGCTCCAGTTTTTGGATGTAATCTTTGAGTGCACAATCAGACTGAGATAGCAAACACCTACACGATGTGGTCCGGGGGCAAAGCGGTCCAGCTGTGACAAAATAAAAGTTCCTAACATTGTCTTATCACAGTGATGTGCCTTGATATGAGAAAAAAAAAAAAACTATGAGAGGAGCTTTTATACATTAAACAACAAAAAAAACTGGCCCACTTGCAATATCTTCGTGGGTCATAAATGGGCCCCCACCCACAGGTTGGGAACCACTGCTGTAATCTATTACCACTGAAAGATTAGAGTATAATATTAGTGCCAGTAGCTGCATACCTGCACTGTAAGAGAGCCCAGAACATCCCAGTGTTCCTGTTGATGGTGGAGGCCTCTGAGTTTTCCACCAAAAAGTGTCCTTGAGCTGTCCACAGCACTGTGGGAAAGTGAGGGAGAGAGGGGTCATTTCAGCGGGGGAAAAAAATTAACGAGTCAGTTAATCGGCCATGTGAAGTGAAAAATTATCTTTCTGTGTTGGTAAGTAATGCATCTAACTACACAGTACCCAGGGACATGATGAAAATTCATCGCACTGCAGCGATTTCAAGCTGCATTAAAAACAGCCCCAAATCATTTTTCTTCATTTTTTCCAGTAAACGCTTAGAAAAAAGCTGCTTTGTCTGAATTCACACTAACGTCTTTGAGCAGGCTCAAGGTGCTGCACAGTATTTACAGAAACAGCTCATCACCCATTTAAGGTCTAATTTGGGATATAATGTTTATATGCATCATCACATCCCAGCCATGATAATCCCTGTATGCATGATTAAACACAATTTGGATTTGAACACAGAAACTGAGCTTGCATATAGGCTGAAAAAACAAACAGGAACCAAGTTAAAGTACTCTTGTGCCTCAGTATCTTGAGCTAATACACTGTATCCTGCTTGAATGTTGATAAGCACAACCAAAAAAGAGGAAACCTGCAGATTCTGTGTAAAATCTGGTATCTACTAAATAAACTGTAAGAAACAATTAGTCAATTATTTAACAAGTCAATCAAGAGGAAATGAAGCAACACCTATTCTGATAATCCACTGATTGTTTATGTCATTTTCCAAACAAAAATGCCAAACATTTCCTGATTTCAGCCCTTCAAGCATGAGGATAGGATGCTTGCTTCTCTGATAGTCTTTGGATTTTGGGCATCAGCTTGGGATATGGGAAATTATAATAAGCATTATTCATTATTTTCAAGCATCTTATTGAGAAAACAATTAACTGAGAAAATAACCAGCAGTTTAATTAATAATGAAAATAATTATTGGTTGCCTCCCTACAGTAAGATTTTTTAAAATAAAATGACATATCCTGATAAATTAGAGTAAATGCAACTAATATTAATACAAATAAAATATATTTATTGACATTATAATTCTGGTATCAGCTCATTGTATCATAATGTAGGGGAAAGTACATGGAAAAAAGACAAAGCTCCAGAATCAAAGAATCTTTAATGACTGTAATTTGCTCTCATTTTGAGAATTTGCATGGCTTTTTAAATTCTCACTTTTTGAAACAGAGTTTGTTGCTGTAATAGAAAGATGGGAATAACTAGTAAGTACCAATACTCCAATCTTCAACTCTTCCCCTCCCTTTGAGGATACACAGCTCAAAATGTAAATCTTCCTATTTGCCTTAACTTTAGTGTACGTGCAACATTACTGTGACTAAATATAAAAACAACCTCATGTGTGACGAGATGTTGCAGGGAAGTCCATGGGAGAGGTACTTACTGGCTGCTGCTATGCCGATGAGTACAGAGGTCAAGTAAAAGGACCATGTTGAAGGGATGATGAACACAGCGATGTACCCACTAGAAACAAAACACGGTAAACAACATTAGAGTCAAGTTTCACCCTTCATCTCTTTCAGCATCCTGTATGTAATTACCTTGACAATGTTTACCTGTAAAGCAGGCCACTTAAAAACATGGTCACTTTTGGCCCAATCACTGTAACGACTGTTGGTGCAAGTAAATTTGAAAAGGAAAAGATGCCATAGATGATTCCAAGACTGTAAAGGAGACAAAAAGAATCAATATTATTAAAGAGGAACAACAAAATTTTTTGAATGTCTTTTAATCCATTGCTGAGTTGAGGTTGTGACCATGCCTGGCCTACCTGTGGTACCCACTTCCAGTGAAAGTATCATTATCCAGGCTTTTCACCACAGTTTGCTAAAACATAAATAAATAAATAAAAATGGTGAAGCACCGTGTTAGACAAGACAGAATGAGTCATAATTACGTCCTCATGTCATTCATCTGGTTTGATCATTTCTGACCATTGAAGAAAATTAGAAACACGAGATGCACATGACACAGCTCTGACTGGCCTGTTTCCTCCTGCCTATCAGACATCTGATGTTAGATTTAAAAATCTCAATAACCAAGTCCAAAAAAAAATTTTTTTTAAAGCTAAAGCAATAAAAAGCATTAGTTTTTGGCATAAAGTTATCCTAACCTTTAGAATAAATTATTTAAAAAATATGCAAAAATAGAAAAGTCATTTTAAAAAAGCATTAAATCCATAAGAATTATATCGTTTTTATGTGTGTTGCGAAAATATAGTATGGCACACTTGAAACATCCTATAACATAGTTACACATGTGTAAGAGCAGGGATTATCTTGGCGTTTTGAGTGTCTCACAGAGACTGGGAGGCAGGAAATCTGTGCCCTCCATTAAAACAATCACATCTCAACTCAGTGCTATGTCTCGGCTCTGTTCAAAATAAGCGTTTGAGGAAACGGACCGAATAGATGCGCCTGTCGATGTAAGACGATTTTAATGAGTTAAAACTCAGTCATAAAGTTTTGTTGCTTTTTGGTTTGTTCATGTTTTCTTGTTTTCTTTTTAACTTACTTCAACGTTCCCACAGGTGGTGAAGGCGGTGAAAATGAACAAAAATCCCACACCCAAAATCACAACGTTGAAAGTCCTTCTGTCTGCCATGGTGTTTTCTGAATCGTCCTAGCAATACATTGTATATTTCTGCTGTGCTGTCCACTCATATGAGCTACAAATGTAGGAAAGGCTCCCATACACACTCCGATCAATGCATTTTAACAAAGTCGCGCCAGTAAAGTTGACTTCACTAACTGTTCAGTTACAGTTTAATGCGTAAAGAGCAGGGAAGGGGGAGCAGTGGAGTGGGCACAGATAGAAACAGCTGTTATAAGGACACTTCCCTCCTATCATACCAAGTACGCATGACAACTTGTGACTTTAATTAAAAACACTTTTTTTATGGTCAGTCTCTTCCTTTCTCTACTCCGACTTCTTCGTCATTGTTGTCGTCATCCTCTCCTGCTTCTTCTTCTTCTTCTTTTTCGTCTTCTTCTTCTTGAGCAGTTTTCAATTATTTACGCTTATTTATCTTTACTGCCTCCCAGCGGTAACAGGAAGAACATTCTCCTATAAGGGAAAACTTTGACAATGAAGACTTTCACACTTCGGTGTCATTGAACAGGGTTTAACACGCTAAAATGTAACTAAGCAGCTTCAATTAAGTGCTAATCTTGTACTTGACTTGAGTTTTTTTTATTTTTTTGTTTCATGCTACTTTAAACTTCTATTCCTCTACAAGTCAGAGGGAAATATTGTACTTTTAATATTGGCAGCTTCAGTTGCTTTACAAATTAAAAATTTTCCATGTAAAAATGCTTATAAAACATGATTCTTTGCTATTAATTAAAGTACCCGTCAGTATGCACTAGTAGGGCTGAAATAATTATTTTGTGATTGTGATTATATTGTGATTAATTGATTAGTCGATTGACAGAATATTAATTGGCATAAATGAAGAAATGTGAGTACTCTGCATTGGGTACTTTTAACACCTTCCATGTGCTTGATACATACTTTTACCTAAGATTTTAAATGCACGGCTGCATTTGCAGGATTTTTACAGGTGATATTAGGTCCTTGAGTAAAAGGCTACTTTTACTCCCTCCACCACTGGGGTTTAATGTCAACAAAATATATTTCTATAGTGCTGTTACTTCACAGATTGCTTCAAAATTAATAAAACCTCATGTAAATACAGTAACAGAGCACCTCTACACATACGGTGAGTTAGGTAAATATTGAAATGTATGGAATTTCAAAATCCAAATGAAATGAAAATATGAAGAATTACATGAGAATGAACACAGAAACTAAAAGTGCAGTCCTGCAATTTCCCTGTGTTCAATATTATTATATTAATTGCAGTCTCATTGATTGACTGATAATCAGTGGCTAATCTCAAAGAACCCATTCAAAAACTATAATTATTATCATGCCTACTGTTTCCGCAGGACAAGCAAATCACAAAACAATGATGAGTACAATGATCATGAAAGATAAATTATGAAAAGCATATTCATCTCATTCTTCAGCTTGAGCTCTTAATTGTGAACCCACAGAAGGCTTTACTATTGGTTTGTCATAGTTGCATTGAAATTGGGTAAGTGAACCAAGTTCCAAATTGCAATACCAATGAGCAGTTGCCTACTCTTATAGGTAATATACAGCATTTAAGTGGTCTGTCCTCTGGTCATTGATAGGATTTCTACTATGTCAGTCACAGACTTCAGCCTGGGGCTTAGAGGAGAGACTTTCTTTTACAATATCAGATAGTTGGAGATGTTTCATAAAATCCAATAGTTGGCGACAATGAACCATATTAAATCCAAAACGTCATGCAATGTTAAAGAAGAAAAACGTAACCAATAGAAATTGAGAAAAGTGCCACCTCTCGGTGTCTGCCATTGCTGTCACAAAATACAAAGAAGTGTGGCAAAGCGAGACGTATCACTACCACTCACTTCCGTGTTTGCTACAATTCCCGTTTATGGCTACGTTATACAGCTTGTATATTTGAAAATGTTTTTTTTTTTGCGCCAGGCTTATTGAACTACTTTATGTTTACGTAGCATGTGGTGTATCATAAATTCAACTGCCTTTATCATAAAACAACTTTATTTGCAGTTGTTTTGCGTGGACGCATGCGCAATTCGTTTCTGTCTTTCTGTTAACCGGCTAACTGAATCTACAAACGTTTTAACGGTGTGAAGGTAAGTGAAGCTGAACTTATTGTGTCAGTTTCAAACATCTGCTGATTTTTCTTGGTACGTTATTTTCTTACACGTAAATACGCGTTTGAGCATGACTTTAGCTCTTGTGGACTTGTGACTTCCCGAGTATCGGATCTCATCCTGCTCTCTGTAATCTCTTTGCCACAACCTACAACAGATTGTACACAATCATCATGGCGACGCAGGATGGTGGGTATTGAGAAAATATAGCACTTTTTCCTTCATATTTTTACATTGAGCTTAAACGCAGTTAATGAAATAACACATACTTTTACCTTGCGTGTTAAGGTACGACGCTATTAATACAGTGTAATGTAAATTTGCGTCTATCCGCAACGTTATTCTTAAAATGTTCACCAATGTTGTCGCTAGCTAACGTTAACGATTGCTAACATCAGTCAAATTTAACCAAATTTGTGGAGGACTGCGGTCAATGTTAGTTTTAACCAGTGATGGGTCTGAATTGGTTAACATAGCTGTTTAAGGGCTAGCTAAATATGGTAAACTTTTGAATGGTAACGACGAAGTACCAACATACTAAATGTTACGTTAACGTTACCAGTTTTATAACCAGTAAGGCCATCCGTATGACAAGAACCACTGTTTTGTGAGTACACATTGTCGGATAAAAACTCATGTGCTTTCGTTGAGGCGTGGTTCGCAATTTTTAAGCCCCTCACCCAACACAGAAGTAAAAATTTATCCGTAGATGAAAAAAATTAGCGATGGAAAGAGCTAGAAAGACCACGAGAGAGAGAGAGAGAGAGGAGAGAGAGAGAGAGAGGTGGTGGGTGGGGTGGGGGGTGAGCAGAAAAGCGAAACTAGACTTAAGTACACACTTTATAATGTTGACTGTAGTTATGTTTCCATACTTTAGCTGGTGATTGTGTATAGAGAGGATAGGGAATAGGGAAATACAGCTGAAACAAATACACATTTCCATTATTCAAAAGAAAGCCATAAATATTGTAAACAAACTAAAGACTCAAAAATTATAAATTTGACATATTTTAAAATGGTAAAAATTCACTATAAAGTAAAAAAAAAAATTACTTTATGAAGGTTGCTTGAAAATTATAGATGGATAACTTAACTTGTGAGGAAGGCGCATGATGAGTGAGCTGGATTTCCCCCAGAACTTTTTAGTAGAGGTGGTAACCCACCCAGGGCCTGACATGTCTTTTCTCATGATCAGTTTAGTTAGGATATGACTGCCTAAACAACAGACACACTCAATTAATGCAGTTTAGTTTCTCATGGTGTTAGTGAAGCTGGTCCACCTCTGCTATAAAATAGTGTGGGAAACCATAATGAGGACTAATATTACATTTCATATTATTTGTAGCAGTTGAAGTGAGTACATGACAGTGCATAGTACCTTTTTGAATACTTTAATTAATAGACAGATGTATGATTAAAATGGCATGTTGGCATTGGTAGAAATATTGAAATTTGATGTCAAATGGCTGTAAGTGGTTTTATGTAATTAGTTGTACCCTCTGTCTCCACCTTTTAGCCTATCTTTTGTGTTGTGTTGTATTGTTGTGTACTGTGCTGTTTTGTTTTGTTGGGATTAATTGCTTTGACTTTTTGGTTGTGTAATTAGTTACATATTGAAATAAACTTAATTTTCACCTTAAAAAACTAAACTGAAACAAAATATAATTGGGTCACATGCAATTGTGGTTACTATCCCACTAGAGCAGATACTTATCCTACAAACACAGTTATCAGTCTGCTATAGATTGCATGTACTACTACTACAACTATTACTACTACTTTTAAAGAAATTGTTGCAAGACACCATGACTCCATTGACTGTGGTGTAGTAGGACATGCCAGATGTGTATTTCTGAATACTGTGTCTGTAGAAATGTGGTATATACTTTTCTGAGAACTAACAATTTTGCCCTTAGCAGCTACACAGTTTCATTTCATGGATCTAATTCAGGTTTTTCATGCTTTACCAGGGAGTGAAGAAGTCTTAATGGAGACTGAGGCAAAGCCAAAAGAAGCCGAACCATTAGGTGAAGATGCTGAAAAAAGTGACGCAGAAACTACGTCTCACACAGATGCAGGAAACGCCACAACTCAGGACTCTAGTATTAGCAATGGGGATGACGCAGATGATAAGCAGGAGACGGTGGACTTGAAGATTATCTGGAACAAGAATAAATACGATCTGAAAATTCCTGTTGATAGCGCCGGAGCCAAACTAAAAGAGAGGATCCATTCACTCACTGGTAAGAGAACACAGTAGTTTACCTTCCACTAAATGTTACAATAGGTGCTAAGAGTGAATCACAAGGACTTGGAGCTTAATGACTGTTCATCTTTGTCATTTTAGGTCTTCCACCGGCAATGCAGAAAGTGATGTACAAAGGACTGCTTCCAGAAGACAAGACGCTACGTGAAATAAAGATTACAAATGGTGCAAAAATAATGGTAGTAGGATCTACAATAAATGATGTATTAGCTGTGAATACACCCAAAGAGGTAATTCAGCAGGAAGTTAAAGCTGAAGAAAACAAGAAAGAGCCTTTATGCAGGCAAAAGGTAAGCCTAATAACATTTCTGCAGAATACAGTCAAATATTTGTGGACTTTTTATTTTTAAAACCTGTACTGTCATTTCAGCAACACAGGAAAGTTTTGGACAAAGGTAAACCAGATGACATAATGCCAGCTATTAAAGGAACAAAGGTGAGAGAAGATGAAGGGAGATCAATCCTTGTTTTTGTTTGTCTTGCAGTGACTGCCACAGCAGTTTAAAGCGGTTATCACCAATAATATGTTAAATATGTAACCAGACATGGTGAGCAACTGCTTTGTCCCGCCAACAGGAACGATTACCAACAGTGCCTTTATCCGGAATGTTTAACAAGTCCGGAGGAAAAGTTAGACTCACATTCAAACTGGAGCAGGATCAGTTGTGGATCGGAACGAAGGGTGAGATTACAACTGCTCTCATTTAGCTGGATTTCTTGCAACACAAAGATACTGATGATGATATTTTCTGATTTTCTTAATGCATTTTCTACTACAGAGAGAACGGAGAAAGTCCCAATGGGCTCCATTAAAAACGTAGTGTCTGAACCCATTGAAGGCCACGAGGACTATCACATGATGGTAACTGTTTTTGCTGCTACCTGCATGTCAGACTTGTCTGTTTTATGAAAAATCAAACGAAGTGTCTGTCTGCACCCAGGTGAAAATAGTCGAACGGCAACTACACAGCTATTTAGACCCATATAGAATGCCCAATCCCCAAGCACTTTTTTGCGCAATTAGAAATGGTGTAGAACATGGCGCAAATTGTTGCTGTGCTTATTGAACGCTGCTATAGCAGAAAGGCTTTATGAATTAAGATTCAACTCCTGTGTGAAATCAGAAGTTGATACTTACTTGTTTTAGTCTTATCTTAGTTGACTTATTTATTTATTTTTATGATATTCAGTTTTCAGTTTAGTTTCAGTTCGGTTAGGTTTAGGCAACAAAACTACTTTGTTAGGTTTTTGGGTTAAAATAGACCCTTTCACAACATTAACCATGTGTTTGAAAGACATGTGACACCTGGGTGCAGATAGCGTCTACCCAAATCAAAATGCCAAATGCTTAGAGACCAAAATACTTATGTATATGCATCATGCCACTGAACCAAACTAAAAAGTTAAATACATTACAATACACTAAATTTATTTAGTTCTATAAAAGGTCCTTTGTGTAAGTAAACAGTACAGGTTGAGCTGTTCGCTGAAGTCACTGTGGTATTTGTACATTAGAGTGATGGGGTCATCATTTGCTGTTTTGGGTTGTGCAGTAGAGCGGTAAATGTCAGTGCCTTCTCTAGATTAACCTTTATGTCCAAAGGCACTTCTGTACTTCATTGTCAGAGAAATAGTCATGAAAGAAGTAGCTTCGGTTAGTTCATCAGATAGTATCCAGAAGATCAAGATTTCTTTTTCAGGAGAAGAAAAATTATACTGAATTTAGAGAGAGTTTAGAGAAAGAGAATATTCAGTTGATAATTCTGTCACCTGAATGACTGATGTCATTTTAAACTGGATGTTAAAGAAGGAGGCCCTATTACTGTATTTTACAACAGTACCTTATATCTCATATTGATATTGTATACATTTTATATGAATATGAAGTAGATAGAACCAGAAAATGAACTATTGTACACAGAAGTAATCTGATAGTCATTCTAGTACAAAGTGATATCAGTAAAAAAGTCTAAGCTGTTTTTGAGGGAATTTCCATGTTCATGCTTCCTTATTGAGGTTTACCACCAACTCCCACAGACTGAACATAAGACTAAGACTGAACTGTGTAGCCAATAAAAATGTGTGAGCGTTTAACCGATTTACTGATCTAGGTCAATGTGTGTTACACCTGTAGTGCAGAGATATTATATCTTATCTAATGTTTTGGCTGAACAATGAAACATGATGTCAGCTACTTGCTCAAAGCATGTTCCTGCATCGCTGTGGAAACAGTATGAGGAGCAGATGAAGATGATTTAGAATGTCAGTGGGCAGGAGGCTTTTATTCCAGTTATTGGTATCAGTGATTCACCCTGAGTGAACAGCAACATGAGTGGATGTGAAAGTCAGTAGTTTTTGGATTGCTGAGTGGCTGTTAGAGTGTCTAAGTTGGCTGTAATATAGTGTAAAGGAATAGATGTTTTCCATTGGAAGGTCTTATGAGAGGCAGTATAATTGTATTACACACAGTATACCTAACTATCAGATGGCCTGTTTTAGGATTTGCCTTCAAAACCAATTTTTTAGATGTGATTATATGTTTTTGTTTTTAGCATTTGAACAGATGTGACACCATGTGATGCGCTTACCATTCTTTCTCACTTTCATAGGCTTTTCAGTTGGGTCCAACAGAAGCTTCTCAATATTGGGTCTACTGGGTGCCTGCACAGTTTGTTGATGCAATCAAAGACACAGTCCTTGGAAAATGGCAGTATTTCTAATGTGCCTCTTTTTTGACAATGATGAACTGGGATTGAGAGGAGGAGCCAATGACAAATGAAACTGGAGTCAATAGTGAAGCTTAAGGAACTTCTTGGAATATATTTGAAGGAAACGGATGGATGCCTGTGGACTAATCATATTCTTTTTAGGTTAAAAGTGCACTATGTGGCAGCATAACATTTCTCAGCCCTGTTGATCATTCAAGGTTTGCAGCAAATCCAAGGGAAAACAATGAAACAATTGTACAGAAATTGCTAACACTTTTCCTCAGTTATTCTTAAAGAAATAAAACTTATTTAATGAAATGAAATCACTAGGACAATGTTGTTTGTTCTGTCTGTGTTGAGTGTTGAATCCACCCAGACTTTGTTGACATTATTTTTCACCCGTTTTGTGTGGAACCACAGAGTTGCACGTCTCAACAATGCAGTACTATTTCTGTGTGCAAAACTGCTGAAACTGTGTAGTTGCACAGCGACTTTGAGTGAACAGCAATTTTCAGGTCCTGCCACAAATTGTGGATTAGATTGAAGTCTGGATTTGGCCACCCCAGGACCTGAACACTAGTCCTTATAAAGCAATTCCTGTGTAGTTTTGGTTTTATGTCTTGGGTCATTGTCTTGCTGAAAAATAAATCTCCCAGGTTTCTTTGCAGGCTACAGCATATTTTATTATTTCAATACAGCATGACATATTGATAGCCCTCAGGAACATTACACCAACATCAGTGCAATCTATTCTTTTTTATAGCAGTATTTACCAGTAATATTTAACAGTATTCATCAAAGTGATCCCTATAATTTGCAGTTCACAACACCATTCAGACTCATGACAAGTAACACAATACATTAAATCTGGTACTATTTCTCTAAACACACGCAGCTTGTATCGCTTAGAAAAAAACTTTTTCCTGTGACAGATGAGGAGTCCCTTGGTCGCATGTATATATTTTTAATCAAATGCTCTGAAGTAAAAATGCAATATGAAGTCAAAATTTAAAGCTAGTACTTCTTACACTTGTTTCCCTTTGACTTTAATGTCATGTATGGCAGAAAAAAAAAATTATAAAATTGCTAATTGATAGTGTAATTCTTAATGCACAATTTCTTGAAATATACTTGTATTTTATTCTCAAATGGAATTGTAAATTGGCAAGGTTGGATTATCAAGCAGGCAATTTCCCAAAAACCATCATCATTTGGGTCTTTATTATTCCCTGAAGCCAAAGTTAATGCATTCAATTTGCTTTGTCTGACAAACAGTCAAAAACTAACCATTTCTCAACATTGTTGCAAATAAATCTTCTATCAATAGACTAATCAATTAATCAACTAATCATTTCGTCTCTAAAGTACTGGTTGTTCTCAGGGCTTCTGGGGAAATAATTAAACTATCACATACAGTGAGGGTCAGTAGGGGCCTCGTAGGAGATTAATCCAGCCATGTCTTTAGAGCACCTGTACATTTATGGTGGACATTCAGAGCGTGAGGTTATGCTTTTACTTTGAAAGATTCCAGGCGGGAACTGATAGTTGTTGGTACAGGAAAAAGACCGCCACCTCTTCCGGTTAAACGTTACGCACGGGGCAACGCGGGTAATGCAAACATTTCCGGCCGTGACCCACCGTGAAACGACAGCAGCACTCGGAATGTATAAACCAGAGGAAACAACGACAGAAAGAAAACGTCCTCCGCCCGTTAAGGTGCTGTCCGGTCAGCTTAGGACCGCAGAGAGCCGGGGGCCAGCTGACGGCGGGGATGGCTATGTTATCAGACCGCGCAGGGGTAGCTCTCTGCCGGTCTCACTGGTGTGGATGCAGGGAACTGTACTGGAGGTGCAGCTGGACCGAAACACCGTGCTGCTCATGGATGAAACGGGGACGTTTGCAGTTCAGGGCGTCAACAACATCCCCAAGGGGAGGCCATGTTTGTTCCAAGGTAAACGAACTTTAATGAAGTTGGTGTCTGATTCATGAGTTGAGAGATAAATCTTATAAAGACCGTTTGATATGTTATGTTTCAGGGGAGTGATACCTGTCTGACTGGGGGCGGTACCACAAAATTCTGTGTACCAAGTTATATGAGCTCCAGGGTCACCAGTATCAATAACTCTTTATTGTTAAAATCAGCTAATGTACTATCCTGACCAATTATTAATAGGTTATTTCTAAATATATTTTAATTGCCACCAGCCAGTCATGAAGCATTTCTTGTCACTATTCCCTTAACCACATGCATGTTTGAAAACACAAAACAGTTTTTAATGGTAGCCTAAATGATTATTTGATTAATTGATTTGACTTTGGTAAAAAAGAATTCCAAACTGATATCATCAAACTGCTTTGTACAGTGCAAAAGTTAGTTAGTTTCAAGATGACCGAAGATGAGAGGCAGCGAATCCTTACAATTGTGAAGACTGAAAAAAGGAACTGTTTGACATCTCTGCTTGAAAAATGTCAATAAGTTGGGTATCAAAATAGTTGTCAATTAATATTCTGCCAATCAATTATTCAACTTATCATTTAAGTTTGGTTGTATTAAAAGTGAGTACTTGAAAATTATTGTATAGTGTCATTAGTAAAACCTTTATTTAATTTGTTACCCCAGAAAAAGGAAGACAACACTGAGTCTTCACTGTCCAAACTATCTTGTGTCAGAGAAATCCAGGTCTACATCATAAACTGTTATTTGGACCAATTAAACACAAATGATACAATACTGTTTCAGATTTATTAGAGAAACCTTTATTTTTGTTTAAGTTGAGGGGACAAAGGTTGATTTTGCCATCAAATTCTCCATCCAGATCAGACTGGAACTGGTATTGTCTCCTGTATTGTCCATGTCAAGGGAGAAAAACTTGAAATTTCCCTTTTTTTCCAAAAATGGAGCAAAAACAGTCACTAGGCTGTTTATTATGATATCTAGTGTCTGTACATTTTAAATGAGTCAAGAAATATTTTCTCATTAGTAAATGATGCTAAAGTCCCTTCATACAGCAGATACTTTAAATTATAACAGGTGTAACTAATAACACTAACTACGGCTTTGCTCCATTTAAATATGGCCACAGAGCCAGTATGCACAGAAGCAGGAATCATGAACTAACTGGAATGCAGCCATTGTTATTGTCATGACTTACACCTGTGTTTGATAGACTAGATTGTCTGCTGTGAGAGGTGTTCAGCTGTTAAGGCTTTAACACTCTGGTATTTTGACAAATACATGCAGGGGTTTTCTGTTAATGGCATCTTTTAACCTTGTGGCAAACCTACACCCCTGCCAATTCTGAATTGTTTCAATGTATTACTGTTGAGTAGAGACCACACTCCAGTGCAGTATATTGTCTCTCATTCAGTTCATGATCCGTGGCTTATTTACATGAAAATTCACAGCAGCCAGCCCTGAGAATTGCAAATTGTTTCCCTAAAGCAGGCACATTAAGCCTGAAAATAATGACTGCACATGAATGAAAAACACCCACATCCCCCTGTATTTCTCTCTATCACCATCCTTGTTCCTTTGAATCCATTGTCACTGAACAATTGACCACCTGCTGCTGTTGTTACAGGCAAGTATGTCATGGTGATGGGTGTCATCCAGGCCATCTCCCCGGAGCCAGTCATCCGTGCAGTAAAGATGGCAGACCTCTCGGAGCTCGCTGCGCTGCACAGACGGATGTGGAGGTTGGAGGTGGAGGACCTGCAGCAGGTGCTGGCCTGAATGCAGAGCTGCTGGTGGCAAGTTGAACTGCATCTGTCATGTGTGTCCAGCTGGCTGTCCAAGTATATAAGTGATTGTTGACAAATGAAAAACTTTCCTCTCTGGATTGAGAGAGATGATTCTCCAAGATGTCACACTTAGCTTGGAGGTAGGATTCAAGAGTAACTTTACAGAGAAGACATGACAAGACACATTCATATTTGTGCATGTTTTGATGCTGAAACGTGGATGTATTTTTCCCCACTTGACCCCTGCTCCGAGGAGGTCAGTGTCTTAAAGAGAAGAAAAAACTGTAGACCTTCAAGGGACAAATGCTAACACATGGTTAAAACACAGGTTATCCAGCTGAAAGAACATCTAACCTCTGTAACAGATCTACTAATGCGTGTGAAGAGCATCTTATCAGGTTGTACTATAGGCATCACCATTGTAATTCATATTTTCAAGTGCTGATGTACTTTTCTCTACTAAAACTGGAGTTTAATTTAAATATTTCTTCACTGCATTAGGATTGACAGATTGGGATTGTGTTAACAAAACCTGGTTTCCGGGGATAAAATATTAGCTTCTTTTTGATTGCTGCAGAAAAGCAATTTAGATCACAATGGAAAAAAAAATTCTAATTTCTACCTGTGACATGTTAGTAAATGCTGGAATGTCACGTAAGTACATTTACTCAAGTAAAATTTTGTTTAGTGCTTTAGTTTTACATTTTATGGGTAAATATTGTATTTTTACTCGACTACAATCATTTGACAGCTGTAGTTACGAGTTAGTGTATAAAGTAGAATTTTACATACAAAACATGAGCTTGTGAAATGTACCAGTTATAGATTAAACTACCGTATAAAACAGTTAAATAACTTCACCCAAGTTAAAAGCTGCTTACACATTAATGCATCAGTAATAATGATACACAATATTACAAAATACCAGCCAAAGAGAAGCAGTACTCTTACTTTTGATACTTTGAAACACCTTTAGCTAATACTACCTACTGTACATACCTTTACAATTTTCAGTGTAGTACTGTTACTTGTAATGGAATAGTTTTACAGTATGGTATTACTTAAAAGATTTGAATACTTCTTCCACCACTCGTTCCAGATGTGTAATTAATAAAACATAGCAGTTCAAACGCAGGTTAAAAAAGAAGCTTTATTTGGTGTGGTGCCCATTACACTGGTAACACTAATGGATAAATGGAAAAATGACCTAAATTGATGGATTAAAATAAAAGTGTCAACTGAACTCTCGATTTAAGTTTTCCATACCTAAAACTTATTGAAAAGTAAAAGGTCATTAACATATACAAACCGTTTATGAAAAGAAATTAGTTTTTTTTTTTTTTAGGTCAACTTATCTGAACACGTCTCTGATCAAGCTTTACACATGCTATTTTCATCACCGGTTTCAGATATTCTACTGAAAGGTGCATAGCAAAGCTTCAAGTGTCTTACACTCAGTATTTGCTGTTAACGATAACACTCGTGTAGTTCTGATCAGAGTAAACCATCCACCAATCAGAGGGCTGGTCCTGAACGCCCCCTTTAAAATCATGCTGTGATCAGGCTATTTCCTGTGCACCTCAGGGGCCCTCAAGGATCACCTGACTCAAGACTGTTTGAATACTGCATTATTTGCAAGTAAGCACGAATATTGTCACCATATTATTTAATGTCTTTAAGCAGAAAACTGTATTTTCCAAAGTCATTGTCATTTGGTGCTATAAGATGATCTTTTCTGGCTTTGGCAAGTTTCATCAAAAGGAATTCCCTGCGCTCCATCCACTCTTTTAGCTCCTGCTCCCCGTGTGCCAGCTTACAGAAGTCGTCCTCTGTGCACGTGCCTTTGAGGAACCTGTCAAAAACACCAGATCAAATGTCAACCATCAAAACCTACGGGAATCAGACTGGGAACCAGAGACACACCATATGCTATGGCAGATAATCTTACCTCTCACAAACTTTGAAAGTGCCTGTGGGAAATCGATACTGCCAGCAGTTCTGATCATCTTCAGAGTTGAAAACTCTGTCTTTGTGTTTTTCTGAAGTGATATGCTGCTGCCACTGCTTCTCGCTGTTGCAGTTTTTACCACACAGCCAACAGTGATTGCCAGCCTGTGAAGAAAAACACACAGCGATCTCATTTGCTCAAACGACTAATTACCATCTGTTTCTTAATTGCTCAAATTTATCACCGTTTATTTTAATCACTTTACAAATAAATAAATTAAAACAAGATTCTATTAAAATTTGTTCTATCACACAATTTAACCGTTAGTCATCAATAGATTTTAGTGCTGCGACAATCAAGTACAAAAGCAATACAAGGCTGCCGTTTTTACTCATAACAGGACAGTGTAATAGTTGAAGATCGTAACCTGATGAAACAAAAGACTGCAGCATTTTGTCACGTGCAACCAAACTGAAGCTGTAGGCTCATAGTTTATGCATTATAAACTAATCACAATGGAGCCGTTGACACATACACACACTGAATGCATTAGACAAAAGCACTGTCATTTGCTGGGCTTTTAAACTCACCACTTCCTCGGCGTAGTCTGTTGGCATGTGGATCTGTTTGCCGTTCTCTCTAACAGAGTTACTGGAGGTCTCTTCACCCCAGCCAGGCTTCTGAGACTGCAGCCACTGCTCATAAAGCTGATCCATATCTGGAACTAAATGAGGGGACAAAAAATGAAGTGTGCATCACATGCTGATTAAATTCTACCAAGTAAGACTCCGACAAAACTCACTGTTGTTTTCCTTCATGTAGGTCCAAAGGTCCCGTTCTTCTACACTGTGAGCAAAAGTGCAATTCCCAATGTACTGACACTTCTTGCCAGCTGTCACGTGCATGCAAATCTGAGAAAGAATAATTACATTTTGGTGATCCTTGCAGGGATTGGTTTCATCAGAGACACAAAGATTGTAGGCAACTTCAGGGTAGAAAAATGTTTTACACACCTCAAATTGAGATGGGATTGGCTTTTTGGTTGGAAGCGGTCTGACTGTTGTCCACTTTTTCCTTTCATGGGAACTTACAAGCACCACTCGCCTGTCTTTTGCCCACCTGAAACAGAAAGACAGACTTAGTGATGATGTACTGGATTGCACTGTTCATTTTTCATATATACAAAGACCAAAAACGTAACACTTTTGTTTTTGCTCAAGTTCAAATAAAAGACTTTTTCAAAGCACACAAAAGGCTTCTTTCTCTTAATTTTTCTTCACAAATGTGTTTAAATCCGTGTTAGTGAGCACTCCTCTTTTGCCAAGATCATCATCCAACTGACAGGTGTGGTATATAAAGATGCTGATTACACAGCATGATTACTGCACAGGTGTGACCTAGGCTGGTCACAATAAAAGGCCACTCTAAAATGTGCAGTTTTATTTTGAAAAAAATACATGTATGAGACACTGAACTATGGATTTCACATGATTTGGGCTACAGATGTGCATTTTTCTTTTTTTTTTTTGCAGAGTTGATGTGGCCTGTGGAATCTTGGCCCACTCCTCTTCTATGGCTCTGAAGCGCTGTCATACACCAGGATACATAGCGTCCACAACATGCTCTATCTAGTCTGGTTCCATGGTACTGCCACATTCTCGTTAACGACACTGGAGAAACCTTATGGTCGTGAAATGTCCATTCACTTCAGGGGCAACAGCTCTGATGGACATTCAGCATGTCAAACTGCACGCCCTCTCAACACATGCAACATCTGTGAGATTGTGTGTGATAAAACTGCACATTTCAGAGTGGCCTATTATTGTGAGCAGCTCAAGGCACACCTGTGCAATAATCATGCTGTATAATCAGCATCTTGATATGCAATACCTGTCAGGTGAATGGAGGATCTTGGCAAAGAATTGCTCCATGACATGGATTTGAACACATTTGTGAACAGCATTTAAGAGAAATACACCCTCTGTGTTTGTCTTTTATTTCAACTCATGAAAAATGGGAGTAAAAACCAAACTGTTCTGTTTATATTTTTGTTCAGTATACATAGACCTAAATACTCACGTGTGTCTTGCCTTGGCTGAGCAATACTTCTTGTTTTTGTCTGCTTCACTTAGTTGGCCATTTCTCCAGCACTGGCCACAGACAAACATCATCTTCAGATTTGGAGGTCCGAACCTCCTCTGTGCATTGGAAAGCTGCTGATGAGATTTGAAGGGTGGGTTAAAATCTTTGTTGTTGACACAAATCTGCCACAGCAACCGTGGGACAACTAAAGGAGATTTATCCAGCATATCACACACGCAGCAACTCAGCCTTAATCCAGGGAAAAACAAATCAAATACCACAACTAGGCTTAAATACATCTAGACACATAATAGTCAAAACTATTTATTTACTTTTAATAAGTTGTTGTAGTGAAAAAACTGTATAATTAGATTCACTGCCAGTGAGCTTTATTAAATGCAACCTCGTGCTGTCGAGTTAGGAAATGCCGGCAGCAAACAAAGATGAGAAATCAGTGAACAGACTCCTGTTGGCTTACCTGGACTCCCTGCAACGAAGCCGTGGCATTCCAAAACTTCTTTGCCTCTAGGACAATACTTTCATGAGTGATACCTAAATGACACAAAATAAAAAGACAACAGTCATGTTAGCAGCGAAAAATACTGCAAAGGGTGTTCATGTTGGCGTGTGGGAAATAAACATTTTAGAAGAACTGTACTTGTGGTATCATGCTCTTGAACGAGCATTTTAAAAACAAGTCTTACCAAGCTCATGCTGCATCATCCACACCTTCAGCTCGATGAGGCTGTGGGCGTAGAAGCAGTCGTCCTCTCTTACGCAGCCGTAGCGGACTTCATGGCGACAAAGATCCAGCTGGCACTGGGTTCTCAGGGGTCTGATTTTGGAATAACGGACTGTATTCTCCTTCAAAATGTGGACCAGGCACCTAGAAGACAAACAGGCCATTAATGCTCACAGTCTTATCCTGTTCTTATTTCCCCTATCTTAATCACATAAATGTAAATGCTTTCATAAAACAAGTGAGGGTTTTTAAAGTGACTTACTTATGATCCTCAAAGTCATGCTTTGTCACTGGATGAGAGCAAAGTGAAGGGTCATCTTTGTTGGTTTTGCTGATGATTCTGGGTTTGTGGTCAAAGCACACCTGCAGATCACATTAAATTTAAACCATTGCAAATTTATTATGGTAACAACAAAAGGCTGACGGGGCTCACATTGATAGGAACTCTCTGGATTAGTCTCTTGGGCTCCTGCGCTGCAGCATGAGTAACTACAGAGGTTCTACCGCAGCAGTAGATTTTGTTTTAATAGGAGCAGAAAGGCTAGCATGTTAAACCAGCCAGGCAGCAGGAAATGCTTATGTACTATTATATTGTTCTATTCTTGTATCCACCTAAAATGCTATAATAACTTCTCAAAGTCTGCCAGCTTCTAATGATTACCAGAAAAAACTACAATTGTTACACAAAAGGAGAAAAGAAAAACCTCCATTAAAAAAAAAAAAAAAAAGGCACAAACCATTTCCCACATTTCCCTCATCACTTTATACATGTAATTGCCTTATTTTTTAATTTTTGGTCTTTAAGTGCTGAAAAATGATGCGTCTCATTCGGAACAATCATCTATTGTCTTGACATCAGAAGATTGTTTCTTGTAAGAAAAAAGACAAGTGCTTTTTTTCCTCTTCACACTGAAATGAAAAACAATGCTGACTAGTTCCAACAGCACTGTACCACTGTGACCACTCCGCTGACGTCATTCTACTTTTAATTATGAAACTAAATAAATACTCACCCCACAGAGGAACATGAATATCCCATGATGCTCCTGTAAGATCTTGGGGACAGTCAACCTGATGTTGGAGTTGGGTCCAAAAGGATCGAAGAGCAGTTCTCTGGAGATAAACCCTTTTCGTTCCAGAGTCCAAACATCAATCTCTTCCTGGCAGTATGCAAATGTGCAGTGGCCAGGGTAGAGGCACTCTTTTCCAACAGCCACCTCTGAAATGACACATTGTCATTTTAGCTCATGTCTAGACATGATTTGTGAGTGAAGCAACAGCAAAGTGTAAAAAGTCCCAGAAACAAATACATGCCAGGCAGCAAAAAGATATTGAGGAAGTAATGGGTAAAAAACTGAACATGCCTACAGAAGTGAAAGCCTTTTTCCGCTTAATGATCTTTATTAAAAAAAATTAAGTAGCCACTGAGAAAATCAAAGTGATCAGATGTA